AGGACCCACTGTGGTGTACAGAGCATGACCCCCACGTCCTGCACCACTCAGAGCTGGGGAGCAGAGGGGTCTGGAGTGAAGAGTGAAGTTGAGCCTGGGAAAGGGGGGTGGAAATTTGTTGGTTTCATGTTTATCTTTTTGATTGCCTCTGCCCAAATCAATAAGTATTTATTTTAATTGGCCAAAATTAAGTTAGCTTCATCAAGTAAGTCTATTTTTCCAACAGTAGGAGCTGATAAGCAATCTCCCTGTCTTTGTCTCAACCCATGAGCTTTCTTGTTCTTGTTACTTGCATTTTCTAACCTCCCGCCCACTTGAGAGCAGAGGCTGAGCAGGAGCCTGGGTGGGAGTTTAACAGCTGGCAAAGGCTAATCCACAGGACTAAGCCCAATGTGTTTCTAGGGTGAAACAGGTGCTTCTGAGGTCTCAGTGTCTGCATTATCCATACTTCAGGTGGTGCATCAGGCACGTGTCCAAAGCACATAATTCAGGTTAGTTGCATATGAAAGAATTCCAGTTGGGATGGTTGGGAGCTTCTCCATGATGAGCACCAAAGGTTGGTAGGTGATCATGACACATCCAAGTGAACAAAGCATATTGATTTCCTTTTAAAACTTAGTACTATCATATCTATTTAAATTAAATATAATCATATTCTTGCTGTACAAAATATGTAGAAGTATTTTAAGCAAGAAGTTTACTCCTGATGTGGTTACTTCCTTTCAAAATACTGTCATACCCGAGCTGGGGAAGTAATCCTTTAAAGGGCTGAATCAGGAAAATCAGAATAGTGTATGTATGTAAATGAATTGTGTATATATAAAAGTGACATGTGTCTTCCATCTTGCTAAGAAACTTGGTGCTGTCCTTCCCCCAAAAAGATGTGGCTGCTGCAGTCTGTGCATGTCACTTTTAAGGTACTAAAATGGTGCTATAATGTAGGCTACTAGAGAGCATCTGATTCTTCCATACTGTGGGATACCATGAGTATACTTTGGAAATATGTTCGCTGTGTTTGAGATGTTTTAAAACCTTGGGTATCAGACTTCGAAAGGAAATTGGGTGTTTGCCAGAATTGTCAGAGATGCGTAGGATATTAGATCGTTAACTCCCATGAGAATTTTAAGTGATGCTCATGTTTTATATTTTCTATCAAAGACTGATATATGTTTCTTTGTGATTATTTAGAGAAGTTATCTTTTTAGTGCTTCCAGCAATTCACTTTCGCTGTCACTATCCACTCATGAGGCTGCATTTTCTCTGTGTGGTGATTATCGCTGGGAATTCCCCTTGCCATCTTTGAACTTTCCTTTGTTACAGAAGTCTGTCATGTCATTTTAACAACTTTAGCACCCTCTAAATAATTAGCCAGGTCTAAAATGGAAGCTTTAACGTCTCTCCTGTTGCTAAAAAAACCTCAAAGTTTTGTAAACAGACTGAAATTCTGGAACATTTATTGGTAACACTAGTAAAAAATGACAGCTTTTAAATGCTTTTCAAATTAGGATGTAACATATCAACCTGTGTGCTAAACAAGTTAAATGAAACACCAAGTTTTTCTCCCTATTTCTGGTTGTGTTACAATACCTTTCATGCAGCTGCCAGATAAACTTTTAAAGCTTGTACTTTTAAGCCTTGCTATTCTATTTATTATCACTGTTGTCATTAATGTTTAATTTTGAAAGAAGTGCTGACTGAGAAGTCTTAAAGAACAGACCAGAAAGTAATTTCTTCAGTTCTATTAAGAAGAGAAAAATGAATAGATGAAGTCTTCAAAAAGGATTCAGACATAAAGTTAAATAGTCCAGCAAGTAAAAGATGACAGTTTGGTTTAAATTTCAAGACCTTGTCTTGCCTTAGGGTATGTTCTTTTAGCTCAATTTTGTTTCCTAGTGAAGGAGACTGTTGTAAATATGAGACACATCACCATTACTAAATTAAATGTCACCTCTCGCTGCTTAAAGCTGACTTGCTGCATTGGCAGATTCTAGAGTTGTTCTGAATCTTTTGTAGGTGTTTGGAATGTGAAAGGCCTATTTTGATATAGGATCTGTGTCCAGGACCTTTATTACTACACAACATTGCTAAAATGCTCAGCAAAGGTTTAGAAAACTTAACAACAAATAGTTCATTCAGTGTTATATTCAGAATGATAAGTTACAAATAATATGGGGGTCAGAAGATAATAATGGGATTTTTCTTAGGAAATCTTCAGTCACCTGCTTGCAGTTCAACATCTACTCGGTTTTATGTTGCATTGACAACTGAAACAGTATCTGTAGGTACTTGGTATTTTATTTACCTCTGAGGAATCTGTGAAGGTGAAATTTAATTCATTCTGGTAAAAGCATTTGATAAAGAATTGAATAGATGCTGATGTCATTTTTTTCAGTGGAAACAATGAAATATATGTGCCATTTCTGCCTTTTCCCCTGCCTCCCTTTTCCTTTTTACTGGTCTTAAACATGACATATTTTGACCTTTGGGTCACAATCCAAATATACTTCAGAATTCATCATCTCTTTTCTGCCCTGTGGCTTTGTTAAATCAATGTGGTATGTACTTTTCTGTCTCATTATACCTAGTTTTCTTGTTCCTTAATAGGTCTACTGTTGAACAAGGCCCTGGTGTTTTTAAAATGGGAGTTTGTTCTGCACTTAGCCCTAAGACCCCTTAGTCATTCAAAACCTTGTTTTGTAATTTCTGTTCTTTTTTTTTTTTTCCTGTTTGGAGATTTTATTTTCCACTTTGTTTGTCCTTCCTCTTGTGCTGGTGCTCAGTCTGTGAGCAGTTGTTGTACTCATCCAATATTACACAGAGGAATGAGGGAAATGGCAGCATATACTTTCTTCCTCTCAGTTCTAACTCTCTTCAAATAAAGCCCACAAAGCATTAAATAAAGGAAGCAACCAAAATAAACTATTTTGAAAACAATTTTTACCTGTAAAGAAAGCAGGACTTTTCTGTAATTTCCTGTTGGATTTTCTCTTTGCCTTCCACTTAAAATAGATATTGGAGATCATGGTGAAGGGTGGTAGCATTAAAGTCATTATACAGTAAGAGGCTAAATAAAAGCACTGTATTTTCTGAAGATCATGGTCATTCACAGAATCACATAGTTTTCTGTTCTTCCATGCCATGCCTCGGTGTGCTTATCCGTGATCCTATTTAGGAAAGAGTGGATGTGCATTTCAGGGAACCTCTCTGCCTAGAAAAGAAGGGGTAACTATTTAATGACTAATCAAACCCGAAGTGTGATGGAAGGGAATGTTACAATATGGTTTTAGTAGTTGCTCTGCATGAAGGTGGTGTAAGAACTGATACATGAGTACTTTCAGGAGTGAAAGACATATTGCTGTTTTCTTACAGGACAGGATTTCATCTGTCTATAAAGGACAAATTTTACATTAATTTGTTCTGCATCAGTGAAAGATGCTTCTTTTTGCTGCTCTGCTTGCCCTTCCTATTACATAATGGTTTCTAAGGGGTTGCTCTGTCATTTTGCTTTTAGATTGTATTTGCAAGATTGTTAAGGGGGGATTCACGTAATGCAGGTGTAATATGAAAGTTCTAGTAAGGAAATTTGCATTTCATGAATCCAGACATTTTTCTTGGAATGAAATTCAGTCATTTCCAAACTCTGAGCATTTCTTTTGGATTTATGGATGACTGGAAGGTCCAAAGTCTAGCATAAATCTGAATTACCTGTTAAATGCTTCATATGAAAGAATGTTCATCTTGCTGCTTGTATCTTTCAATGTCATTGATTCATGTTAGAAATGTAAGAGGGCATGTAAAAATAGTGCATTTTAAATGTCATTTTAGTGTAACACAACAATATGGAGAACAGTTTCAAACCGAGAGACCATATTTTTATTTTTCCATTAATACATAGGTAAGTTGTTCTTGGAAAATGAACAATTGCATAGAAAGAGAATAGAAAAGGAAAATGTCTTATTTCAGAATTCAGACTGATATTTTCCCCACTTCTCAGGTTATCATCAAGACTATTCATTCAGGATTTTGCTATTCTTTCTAGAATCCTAGTGAATAAGTTAGAAAAAAAAGTTCAGGGATGATTAAACAACAAAAATATCAAGTAGTTTCAACACAGAAGAAAGAAAATTCAGTGTGGTTTGGATTTTTGCATTTCTATACCTGCAGAAGGATTTATTTGTGATCATAAAAAGTAAGAGTGTTGTTAGTTAAAAACAAAATCTCTCAAGCTTTGAGAGATTTCAGGGTGGTTTCTGCTCTTCTTTTAGTCACGACTTTTTCTGATTTTCTCTCTCTTCTCTAGAGATACAAGCTAATATATGCTGGTTAAAATTTGTGGCAGTGTCATTTCATATATTGTGATTTAAAAATAAATAACCACCATTAAGGAAGTAAACTACAGGAAATTTAATAAACATAAGAAAAAAAAGTCTGTGCTCATGAGGGTGGTCAGGTGTCAGTGTAGGCTTCCTAGACTGGTTGTAGAGTTTCCATACTTGGATATGTTCAAAGCCCAACTGGGTGTGGTCCTGGGCAACCTGCTCTAGTTGACCTTGCTTTGAGCAGGCGGGTCAGACTGGTGACCTCCAGGTTTTAATATTTCTGTAGTGTGGTGAAAGAGCCTGTCTTCTGTATTTGGGGATAACTTTGTAGTGATACTGCATATTTAGGATGAAAATGTTGGTGTAGTCTGCATATGTGCATTAAAAGAACTTACTACTGTGCAGTTTTTCAGATTATGACCAAGGAGATCTTTTATTAATAAGTCACTTCATGAATTTGTTTTGTGTGTTTATATTTTGAGATCTATTTGAGATTTTTAACTTAATTTCACACTAAAGTTCTGAAGTGGCATAATTAAATACCATCTCATCAGTGTCTTTTATAAAGATTAATGAATTTATTAGAAATTTCAGATGTGTACATCCTTCCAAACATTGTGTTCTGTTTTCAATTTTTTTTATTGAATAATAGCTAATTTACTACCTTCTTATCTTCCACAGATCTAAAGAGAGAAGCCAGTATTTGTCACATGCTGAAGCATCCTCATATTGTTGAACTGTTGGAGACATACAGCTCAGATGGAATGCTTTATATGGTCTTTGAGTTGTAAGTTTCTCTCTTTGTTTTTACCTTTCTTTGTTGTCATTTACTAAATAAAATCCTACAAGTGTGTCTGCTCACACCTGCGTGTTTTGTAGCTCAGAGGTCTGGAGTGCCATGAAAATGTTTATTTCTGGCAAGAACAGGTTGTCTCAAATTAAAAAAGTTGTCCCACTGGCAAAGTGGTGAACATCAGGGCTTTCTAAAGACAGGAAGCTGTTTATTGATGGCTGCTGTGTCCCTAACAAGGTTCATGAGAACAAGTTGAAAATCTGGTGATAGACATCATCCTTGGGTAGCTGATGATATTCTGTTCCAGTTGTGAAGTTTTTATTTTTTTCCAGATTGTTGCTACTTTAGCACTGCTTTTGCATTATTAGGTAAAAAAATAAAGCTTATTGGAGTATTTAGATATTCTTGTAAGTCAATATAACTGTTCACAATAAATTAAAAGAGGCCTTTGTCTAAAAGATATGTTTTGGAAGTTTCAATGTGAGAGTTTAGTAAGAAGGGTGACCAAAACATGACTTCAGCAGTGGACAGGTATTTTTAATCAACAGCAAGAAATAAAAAAGGAGGGCAAGCCCCTAAATCACCAGTTTTTGATTTGAGGGAAAATTATTAGTCCTTCCAGAGTTAAGTTTTATCTAAATGGGAAGGACAGAAGCAGACATGCAGAATGGTAATTTGTGCATGCTCTGTGTTCCATCTTCCTTCTCTCTTTGCTCTCCACCTACCAGCTCTTTTTTTTATGCTCCACATATATTCATTCCCAGTGTGTCTGGGCATACATGTTTGTACCTCTTGAATTTCTCTAATCTTCCTCCATTAAGTTTTCTGATGCATTTTACCTGCATTTACCTGGGTGGAGCAACCACATCATGCCAGTGTGTTAGGTCAGATTGACTTGTCCACTAGAGCCAAGAATTTGATTTGAGATATGCACTTCAAAAATAATTCTCACATGTTTTAACATTGAGGAAGTGGAAAGGCAAGAGATAATGGCAAAAAACCTGGGTAAAGATGAAAGTTGTTGTTTGAAAATCTTCTGCTTTTTTTTTTAGGTGATTTTATAAACTTATGATTTTGTAAAATAATTATGCTATGCTTTCCTCTCTGTACATTTTAATTAAATACTGACTTTGCATTTTTATTTTGTAAATCCCAAAGCATGGACAAGGGACTTTAATTACCCTATTATGAAATAATTATGTACACCTTGGGGAGACATACTCTGATAATTAACAAGATTTTGAAATGGAAAAAAGGTTTTGCTTCTATTTTTACTACGCTGATATGAGACAAAAGCAGTAATTATTTTTTTAATGGCAGGCCTATTATAATTTATGTTTGTATACATAAAAAATAAGTCTGAACAATTAGAATTACTACATAAATACTGTACCTGACTTCAGGCCACATGAAAGAAGGAATTACGAGGCTAAATTATTTGAAGGATAATAATTGTTTACCATATGTGTGCCCTTGTTTTCTTTGTACACTGCAAAACATCACTCTTTTGTAACAAAGTGATGGAAAATGAGGCAGTAGGAACACCTGTGCTCAAAATGTGGCAGGGAATGGAAGAGTTGTGGGCACAATGTGTTATGCTGAAGGGGATGCTTTGGTAAAGTGATTCAACAGAAGATTGATGTTTGCTGTGGAGTAAGAACAGCATTGTCTGAGTCTGCGTGGGTCAGTGACATACTGTGTAATTGTGACCATATTAAGAAACCTGTAGTTAGCAGAAAAGCATCTATGTACATTTAGGTAACTTATTTTCCCTCATACTGCCTCCCGTTCATTATGCTGTTATTGTAACAAAACTCAACTGATTTGCAACGAAGTTCTGTCCACACTAATAAAGTGAATTCATTAGGGTTTAGTTATTCAGAGGTTAACAAGAAGGGGAAGACACCAGGGATCTGCAAAGGAGATTTAAACCTAGCTGGTGATGAGCTGTTCATGGGCTGGCAGGTGCTTTTCAGGCCCAACACAAGAAATGCACAGAATAACTGAACCTAAAACTTTGTGCCATGACTTGTAAATGAGACACAGGTCCACTGCTGTTTCATAGTCTGTGAGCTGCGTGGAGCAGCTGCTGGGATGACCCTAAATATCTTGCCAAATCTATTGATACAAAAAAGTACAAGTTGAATAGGCAAACGTAGCATACACCTGATAACAACAGATTGTAACGCTCAGGAAAATATACAATTTGTGCCCAGTTTGGAAAACGTTGGTTAAAATAAACATTTAAAAAAACAAATCGCAATTCATAGAAACACTGATGAACATGAACAGTAGCAGTGAGGTTTAACACCAAAAATTGAGCTATGTCTTTAACCACTAATTATTCACAAATTTAAGCAGTCTTTAGAATGGGGTCATATGTGTGTTACCAGCAGGTTGCAGTCACCCATGTGGTGCTGCTGTATTAAACTGCAGAGAAGCAGTGGGTTGTAATAGATGAAGTGCATATGTAGAGTAAGAAGCAGACTCCATCCCAGAAAATCTTATTGCTGAAGTAAAATTATTATTTTAAAAGTACTTAGATGTTTTTACGTCATAAATGAGAAGGGATGTGCCTGTGCCAAATGATTTCCCTCACACACACCCCAGCTGCCCCTTAGAAGGGTAATGGACTCTTTACACTGATGGAAAATATCCCTTGGAGGCTCTAGAGAGGCCTTATATCTGAGAATGGCCAGCTCTACTCCCTGTCATACAGTTGCCGTTTCCTTTCCCATTCCTGGTGTTATTTGTTGACAGCTCTGTATAGAATCATAGACTCATTTAGGTTGGAAAAGACCTCTGAGATCATCAAGTCCAACCATTAATTCAGTACTACCACCACTAAGCCATGTCCCTAAACTCCACATCTAACACAACTTTTAAATAACCCCAGAGATGGTGACTCCATCACTTCCTGGGCATCCTGTTCCAGTGCTTGACAACCCTTTCCATGAAGAAATTTTCCCTAATATCCAATCTAAATCTCCTCTGGCACAACTTGAAGCCATTTCCTCTTCTCTTATCACTTTTTATCTGAGAGGAGAGACTGAGCCTCACCTGGCTACAATTCCCTTTCAGGTATTTGTAGAGACTGACAAGATCCTTGCTGAGCCTCCTGGTTTTACATAGAATGCTGTTTTCTGTTTAATGTGCAAGTATCACTTTTATATTCTGTTGCTTATTACATTTTTTTCTAATGATCATTGATTTTTTTCAAGGAGATACTTTGATTAGGTTCTGCTACTTGCAATGTTTCTAAAACAAGGCAAATATTCCTTTTTGAAGTGTCTGAAAACCACATTTTAGAGTGCATTACATGCAGTTTATCCTCACTATAATCAAAGTGTGTGGACTGAGAGTACTTTTGTGCTGAAGAGCTCAGAGAGAAGCAGTGAGTGGATTGCAGATACCTTCATATCTGGTCATTTGCAGAATATTGTCTCACCACTATACATAGGTGGGTTGTGGTTTTTTTAGTGCATTCTAAGAGAGTTTTGTCTTTTGGGGCATTAGAAGAACTGATCCATTTAGATTTAGCAGTTAGGATGTATATATATATGTATAGTTATATACATATAACATTGCCATTTAATCTAGATAACATGTAAAAATGCTTTAGTTTTAAATTCTCAAAATCCATAAAAGCAGTACTTTATCAGGGTTGCAGTTGGAACTGCAGGTGTGCATTAAGCATAAGTTGATGAACTTGTGGGGGTGCTGGTGGGTGACAGGCTGGACATGACCCAGCAATGTGCACTCACAGCCCAGGAAACCAAACATGTCCTGGGCTGCATCCAAAGCACTGTGGGGGCAGCAGGGCCAGGGAGGGGATTCTGCCCCTCTGCTCAGGTCAGACCCCACCTGCAGTGCTGCATCCAGCTCTGGGGTCCTCAGCACAGGAGGGACATCAACCTGTTGGAGCAAGGCCAGAGGAGGCCACCAAGATGATCAGAGGGACGGAGCAGCTCTCCTGTGAGGAAAGGCTGTCTCAGTCTAAAGGAGCCTCTAGACAGATGCTGAGAAGGCAAACTTGGGAACATCACTTAATTGTTCATAATGAACTAAAACCTGGGTGCAAATAAGAGTATTTTGACTTTTTTGGTCTTAATTTTCAGAGGTTACTACATAGAGCTTCAAGAAAAGCTAAATGCTGTAGTTTTTAAATTAATTTTTGGAAGTTTATTTGAGGTAAGTGATGATGGCAAGTATATAAAAGCTGAAGGAAAAAATGCCATTGTTCACAAGCCTTGAACATACATGGTACAAAATTCGGTAAACTCAGCTATGAGTAATGTGTCAACTCTTAATTTTTTTGGTTTTTTAAGTAATACTTTGGCTCCCTAAATAAAGCAGTGCTTCTAAAGCTTTCTGATTCTTCATCAGTAAATTAAGCTATAAGCCACATCCTATTAGGTCATCTGCAAATGCAAAGCTATCATACCCCAGTATGAAAACATAAATCTCTTCTGGAGCATAATGTCTGTTCTTCAGTCACTGTTAGTGTCACAGCAGATTTCTGCACTGAACATGATTCAGGAGTAAATTTTCTGGGCAGTGTGTAACTTATCCTCAGCATTGTGTAGAAGAGTAGAAAGATTTTCAAGATGAACAGCAGCACTGAGAGAGCTGTGGAAAGAGACATTTATCCAAAGGGCAGAGATCCAGGCACAGTTCTGCTAAAAATATGGAGGAATCAATAGTAGAATATGGATTAATTGGGGGACATAGTTCATGCTAATACCCAAACATTTGTGTGAGGTGGTATGTTTGGGTGGTTTATATATATGTATATATATGTATGTATGTATGTTTATATTATATATATATATATATATATATATGTTCATGTACCTGCCATGAGTGCCCTCTGCTGGTGTCAGGGGTTTTTCTCAGGTTATGAATGTAGTGATTTTTCCCAACTTTTTTTGCATCATCCACATAAGTCTTCAGCATGGATATAGCTTTTTTTTGTTTATTTCAGTGGATTTTAACTTATCTTTTTTTTTTTTATGGTTTTCACGTGCTTATGCTGATACTTACAAACCCTTGAGACTTCCTGAACTTTCATTACATCAGTATCCCAAAACTTAAATGCTCTTGTATCACACAAACCTTTCAGTTTCTGCAGAGGCATCTTGTAAGTGGTTGAGGTGTTGCTGAGTTTTTAGTCTGTTAGTGCACTGATTTTTCTGGGGTTTCTTATGACTGAGGTTGACTCTTGCTTTCTGCAGCCTCAGCTAGACAAAAGTTTTTTGGTTTTTAGGTAAAATTCAATATCATGTATTGAATGTATTGTATCACATGAGGTGATGCAAACCCTCTTTATACATTAAAAAAAATGTGCTCTTAAAAAAGGTTTTATCTTGTGAGAGTGGTCAGTTGAAGTCAGAGATTAAAATACACCTGCTGCATGTTTGTGCTTTGGAGACCAACAGAAGTCATCTTAATGGAATAAAAATTTCAAACATATTTGCAAAAAAAAATTAAAACTACCATATACTGGTAGAAAATTCAAATGAAAAATGCTGATATATGTAAGTGGGTGGTAGAAATACATGTTAAAGACTGTTCTGATTATGAATACCTTGTTTATTAAAGGGATGACACTCTTACTTCAGTGTATCAGCAACTGTTGATGCTGCTAAAAACCTTAAGTGCCTCTGGACCTTTATTTATACATAGTTTATAATAAGTCGGAGTGCAATTAGTTTTCTAAAGGGTTCTGCTGTTTCATGAGAATGACATCTCACTTTTGGTAGTTGATCAGACATCTTGTATGTTCTACAGTGCGAGCAAACGTTGGAAGAGTGATTGACATGAGAGATTTTTGCAGTGAAATCCAGGTTTATGCTGCTCTCCTTGAGCCTGACCCCACGGCTGCTGTGCAGGGCCATGTGCAGTGCAGCACAGCACATTCTCTGGGGGATGTTCAGCCCTGTACACAGACAAACTGTAAGAAATTGAGCAAGACAGAAAAACCACTGGGGAAAAAAACCTACAGAGGAATATATTGATGCAGTGAAGAGCATTCATGGTTTGGCAGTGTGGGTTTCTTTGCACTTCTCAATGTGCATTTTGGTCGCGGGTCTCTCTTACAGTTGTCAGTGCTCTATCCACATGGTAGTGTATTTTGTATGGGGATACCTTTTGGATTTATTTGGGAATTAAAGCTTCTGCACATGACTTGTGACTCCCTAAGAAGTTTATTATTGCAGGTATGTAACACAGCAAAAGTGATTGATGCTGACATTCTGGTTAACTTAATGAAACAGCCTGGTAATGTTGGCTTTCTAGACACCTTGCAAATTCTCCTTTTTTTTTTTTTTCCCCTTGAGTCTTTATGGAGAGGAAAAAGAAGAGGTGTGAAGGCTGAAAATGACATGTTACAACCGATATTTTTGGAAGTGCCTTGTTAAATGTGAATTATGTTATTTTTATTGTTCCTGTTAACTCTTGTTACTCTCTCTCCTTGCCCCATCAAGCTGTGAATATTTCTAGATATCAATCTACCTTAGGTCACTTACAGGAAAGGGAAAAGGAGGGCAGTTCTGCCACTCCACACTGCTTTAGTTTTTGAGAAATGGCAGTCTAATTTCAGCCTAAGATCTATGAATATACCTGCATCTAAAGTGTAATACAACTTATTGTGGGAAATTAGATCAGAAAGACTACAGGCAATTAGGGAGAACAGGAAAAAGGTATCAAGAGCTAGTGATACAGTATGTGGGCTGTCACTGTTCTCAGGTGACTTCAGTGAGGCTGTGAGGTGTAAAATCTCATCTTGACTGCTTAATTATCCTTACAAGAAAATGCCAACTGGAAAGACTGCACTACATTTCTAGAGTATTTCTTAAAGTCTTCATTTAAAATTCAATTTGAGTAAGATTTTTTTGTTACTAGAGTCATTATTATAGAATTGCACTTGTAGTTCTTATACAAACACACTTAACCAAATATCAGACGTTGACTGTTAACTTGCAGAACCTTCTTGTACAGAGCATTGACTTCCTGCTGTCTTGCACACCTTACTCAATGAGCAGTTTGGCAATAAAAGAGATGTTTGGTATTGCTGGTGTTTTGACAGAATTGTTATATGACGTCAGGGACATAAAATAGTTAACCTGTGCCAAGCCATTTTCTATTAGATTACCTATTAAATGCTCTTTTAGGGTGCAATGCACGGTACATGTATCCAGAGTATTTTATGTAAGATTTATGTAAATGGAGCAAATAGATCTTTTGGAGCATTTTTATGTAATTGATTATAGTTATCTGTCTTAAGCATTTTTCCCTCTTTTTACCTGCAGTATGGATGGAGCAGACCTGTGTTTTGAAATTGTGAAGAGAGCAGATGCTGGATTTGTCTACAGTGAGGCTGTAGCCAGGTATGTATTATAATTTTAATTAATCCCGCAGGATAAATAGAAAAGAACGGAATATACTGTTGCACAATCTGTTAGCTAAAAGTCAGACTACTATAAGTAATCCTGTTTCCACACTCTAGATGTTTATTACAATAATTAGCATTTTGTCATTTGCCAGTTATATATTTGAATGAGATTATTGAGTAAAACAGTATTTCACATCCAATACTTGATTGTCTGTCTTTGCTTTTTTTGGATCTCTCATGATGCCATTAGGTGCCTTGCCTGACAGGTGTGAATTTTACTGGTCTTGCTAGATGGAGTTGTCTTTTCTTTTACTGGCTTATGTATCACTTTATTTATGGTCACTTCAACTTTTGAAACAGTATGAGAGAGTCTATAAAACTGCAGAAGGATAATAAAAACCAGTGTCCTAGTGGCACAGTTGTTGACCTCAAAGCCCATGAGGTTATTTTTTTACTTTTCTCCACACTGCAGATTTTTTAGCGCTGTAGAAACCAGATTAGAAGAGACATCAAGAGGTCTTTATGTCAACCTCCTGCTCAAGGCAGGGTCAGCTTGGCATTTGAATCATGTTGCTCAAGACTTTGTCCAGTGGGTCCTAGAATACTTTCAAGGATGGAGACTCCACAGCCTCCCTGAGCAACTTGATTGCAGTGCATAGTTATGTTCCTAGAGAAGAACCTTCCCTTTAACCAACTGGAGCCTCCAGAGGACAAGGATTGCCTCCCTGAGCCCGCAGTAATGCTCTGTCTGATGCAGCATAGGATGCTCTTGGCTTTCTTGACTCTGCTATGGTCAGTGATCTCTTAGGACGTCCTTTGGACACAGGGGAGAAAGAAGTCAGTCTCCAATCTGCACCAAGAAAGCCATGGTCTTGGTCCAATACTTTTCCAGATAAATCAGGCACTTATTTCCTTTCTGTGTTTTGTTATTAAAAAAATGGACAGTCCTGACTTCCTTGTTATTTGAAGCAGAATTATTGATCATTTGAAACCTTACAAAAATACAGATTTTTCTTTTCTGATTTTCCTTGGCTTCAATCAGAATAATTCTCAAACTTTAGCTTGTATTATTCACTATTATAAACACAAATTCATTCTACAGAACCCTGTATATTTGAGGTTAAGTTGGTTTGATTAGTTTTATGTAATTAGACTCTTAAAACTTAGTTTGTTACATGTTTATGGTAGTTTTTCCTGCAGGTTTGTCATGTATAACGTGTTTGTCTTTTTCAGTCATTACATGAGGCAGATATTGGAAGCTCTACGTTACTGTCATGATAATAATATAATTCACAGGGATGTGAAGGTAAGGGGGTTTAATTACTCTTTTTTTCTTCACCACAATAGTGTCAACTACTGAATTTCAATTTCTGTAATTTAGAGAAAGACAGGAGCTCTAGAAAAGGAATCTCTATTTGCTGAGTGAATCTTTACTCTTATTGTCTCATGTAAGATTAAAGATCTCTAATTTCATCAATATAGAACATTTAGGAGATCTGTACTCACAAATTACACATGCATTTGATTAAAACTTGCTTTGAAAGTCAGTTTAATTTCTAGTTTTTGAATATTCAAATGAAATCCGCTTGCATTTTTGTCTTGTTAGGAAAATATGTATATAAATTAATTGCATAAATTAAACTGGAATTGGTAGTTCAAGGGCATCAATTTGACAGTATAATGACAGTCCTCATCCACACTAAGATTTCAGAGATGCACATGCTTAAATGCTACAGTATTGGTAGTATTATCTACTTTTTGCAGCCAGTCTTAAGCATTTATTATCATGAAAACTTCTCTAATATAAACAAGTTTGTGAGGAGAAATGCAGTGTTTTACAACAGCATATGTACACTCTCTTTTTGATCTGGTGAATTTTGTACTATTTCTGTCAATATTTATGGAAGTAGTTTGTCCCAAAGTATTTTAATGTAAGTAATTGGGAGTTTTAACTGAAGTGGGTTTGACAGTCTTCAATTTGAATATACAATTTCTTTGTTAATGTTATTACTTATAGATAATATATAGTTAATAGTTATTCTCACTTTTCTGAGAGTTTGGTTTTATTCAAAGTGAACCAAACACTGTAGGAAGTAATGAAAATTCTAACAAGCTCTGATGGTGCAGTTTGAGAAGTGAATCTTGGGCTTTAGTGGGTAAGAGAAGATTCAAACTCCTCCAGGTGATCTGTGAGGGAAGAGAGTACAGACACTGGGCTGATGATTTTCATTTAAGGAGTCATTTGTTCTTGTGTACACATACATCACAGACTTTCCCAGCCTCTTACTCCTTTGCTTCTAGAATCAAGAAAATTATTGCATAATAGGCTTTTTAGTTTTTTAAAGTTTGGTATTTTAAAAGTAATTTCTTACGTCAAATTCAAAGGATGACCTTGTAATTCATGGTAGAATGTCTCATCATGTTCTGTCTTGAAGGTTTTGAATTCTTTTAATTGTTCATTTTTGATAGCGCATAAGAATTTCTGAATGAACATCATCTTTTTGTTGCTGTGTCTTTCTGAAAACTCCACTTGGTTTTGTTGGACCATGTGCTTGAACAAAAACAAATTTCAGTTTCAGGGGTATCTGAGGGAGGCCCATTTCACTGTGTGTAAAGTGGGAATTTATTTTAGATTCTGAAAACCTCAGAATCACAGAGTTTTTTGAGATACTATCCTTAGAAATAACTCTGTTCAATTAGATTAGAAAAAATGTGTCAGTGTAAAGCAGTGTAAACCAACAGTGTTTCATGTTGGCAAAAGCAGTGCAGAACTGCAGGGTTTGGGTGCAGAACACATTAAGCTAACTGCAGTATCCCAGCTCTAGATGTCACTGTAGGCAGTGTTTTGAAAGGAAGTAGACTAAATGACCAGTTTCCAAAATACCTGAATGGATGAAAGTGCATTTATAAAATCTGTAATGTTGATGAAGTCATACTACTTTTTTTTTCCTTTTAAGCTTTCTGTGAGTGTTATTTTGAACTGCAAAATATTTGATCATCGTCTGATGCACAGGAAAATTTGCACCTTATAGCCCATGCAAGGATTAGGTGTCTTTTAGCCACTTTTGTGCTCACTTAGCTCCTTGACTGATTTGGTAGAACTGCACAGGAGTACTTAGTTTGCTGTGTTCTTGTGCCAGAAACTTCACCTGACTTCTCCAAATGACAAGATGTACCAAAGCTTCTGGAGCACTGTGCAGCCTGTGACAAACTCCCATATGCTTCAGATTCACCTCTGATGACAGAATCAAAACATGAAAGCTTTCACAAGATGACCTGTAGTCACCTTGCTGTGTCAGAAATACCCAAACGATGGCTACCAAAAGCAGCAGCATTGAAAGGGAGTTTTTTTCCAATACAGAATGTTATTGCACAGCAGTTTGTGAACAGAATAATCTTTATGTAAGAGAACAACAAAAGGGAAAGGAGAGTAATGTTGGTCTGAAATGAGATGTTTGTCTTTTCCTGTAAAACTCCTGCTACGGTTTGAGTCTCATTTGTCGCTTGTTCATTTGTGCAATAACTGCAGTGGAATGGTTTTTATCAGTGAAACATCAAGAGGTTTTGCAATCTTCTGTTAGCCTATATTGTGATGTTTATGTAACATTTTCCATAGTTGCAGATCTTGTTATAAAGATACCTTTTAGTAAAACTGATACAGGAGTAATTTAATCACATCAAGAGCTTTAGTTGCTGGGATTTTCTCCTTAATTCATTCCAAATACTCCAACTTGATGCCATGATTTCCACATAGTTTGAGTGTTTGTGTGTGTTTCTGATTAGCAAATTGATTGGTGTGCAACTGGAGTTGGGGCAAGCTTGTCAGCGAAATGCAGACATCCAAAATTTTTACTGTAGGTTATCTTGGTAGGTATGAATGCTTACTTGCAGTGTGGTCATGTGAATAGATGAAACTGCTTAAGCAAAATACATGAATTCTGCCTTCTCTGCTATTAAGATTCAGTTCAATATTTCTGTGACTGGGAGTAAAAACACTTTTTCCAGGGAATAGGACTAAGCCTTATGCACTGTCCTGTGTGTCATATACAAATCTGAGTTGGTCCGGGTGACTTGAGACTTGATCTATGCATAGATTTGAATGTTGATTTTTGGACTGTACAGAACTTAATTAACCATATGAATTCTGAGAGCACACTCAGTTACCACTTCTGTCTTTCATTGCCTGAACTGCCTGTAGTTCAGTACTTCAGATCTTGCCAGTAGTTTAACACTCTTACACTTCTGCTTTTAGGCATATCTGGGAAATGAATAAAACTAGTGGACATGTATTTATGTGTTTATAACTCTATATTCAACTACATTAAAAAATTACCAGAATAGAAGCTGTTCTGTAAGACCATCTTCTCTTTCCAGTCTTTGAATATGCAAAACAAGAAATCTGTTGCATGTTGCTTTCCTTCTACTCTTTTCACTTTGAACTTCTTTTATGCTTTCTGCGAACATTCAGTAATGACTGGTGCTTCTTCTGTATTTTCAAGAAGTTATTAGATCCTTGAGATCCAGTAGAAACTTCTTGGTGAGGATTTTCTTACATATTAAATTGTTTATAAGTTATTAAGACTGCAAAATGACTAACGAGGTGGAACTGAAGTGTCCTACCTGGCCATGTTTTTTCTGAGGAGCTCTTCCTCATTCAATGCAGAAGTTAAGAGACTCCAAGAATAAAGCTTTCAGTACCTTTTCTCAGTGCTTATTCAGGCAGTACACTTTTCTTCCTCTTTATGTCTAGTCCTCTGCTTCCTATCTCAGAGTCCCTCTGTTTTGTCCAGCCCTTTTCCTAGTGTACCTTTAGCTGTTTGCTGGGTCATCAGAAGCAGTTTTGCTGAGAATTATATTTATGCTGCTTGGCCTTAGAGCTCAACATTTAATGCTTTCTGGTCAGTAGGTTTATATGTTTCAGTCATTTGCCCAGACAGTCAGAAAACATGTGTTTTCTGATTGATGAGCTGGCTACCCATGCAGCACATTGGAATGGGTTAACCAAAAAGTAGACAGGCACTTGTAGCCTTTAAACTGCTTTGCAAAGTGTGCTGTGCATATTTGCCTTAGGATTTTGTGTTCACTGCAATGGAAATGAATTTTTTTTTTTAAATTACTATGCAATTGACAAGTCACCTTCTAACTTCTGATTTGGCCACAGGATGTCTAAGCAATGCAAGAAGTTTGCCACATCAGCTGTGTTATGCTGTAGTATTTTTCTGTCTCTCCCTCATGCCTTTCAAGTTTTCTGGGATTTTTCCTCCATGAACTATTCTCCCCAATGCTAGACCAACGTAGTACTCAATTTGTAGTTTCTCGAATTGCCTGTACTGCACAAAAGCTTTTCCACCATTTCAAAGAAGAAAAACTTTGATGCAATTAAAAAATTTAAAGGAGACATAATCTTGAACAGACTACATAGGAAAAAAGCAAGGCATGTATCATTTTTTGGCACTACGTAGAAATGTTGGAGTGAGATCTTGCTAAGAGTCTATCACAATGTTGTATTTGATTAGTAGTTCCCAAAGTTTTGTTCATTTCCTTGTCTTTTTGATAAGTGCTGGGGAGCAAGTGGTTGTTACTAGAAGGGTTGGAGAAAGAATGATTTCAACCTATGCTACCATCAACAACTCTATGTTAAGAGAAACAACCACAGTCAGCCACGTGCTGAGGTATCCTAACAAGTGCAGCTACATTCCCTATAAAATATAATTAAGAAAGGACAGAAGTTTTGGATTCTGAGTTTGTATCTGTGCAAATTATAGGGGTGCTTTGGTAGTGAACATATTTGCTCACCCCGACTTGCAGCTGCTGATCTAAAACCAGTCTTGTCAGTGGCACTGAGCATCTGTGGAGGACTTGACTGCTCCATTCAGTCTTGCTGTAGTTACTTGGCCATCAGTTGTGGTTCAACCATTCCAGGGCAAATGTCTGTGCTTTTTTCAGCCTTTTTTGTAAAGGAAACTTGTGTCCAAAACCTGGGGCTTTTTTTGATGATGGGCAAGAACTGGGTCCTCAACTTCAGCCTAGTTTCTGCCTTCTTCCTTGATTTTTTAGGTAAAAACGCTGTCCATAGGTGAAACATAAAATATCTTTTGCATTTCATGAATGGATGGGTATTACACAGTTCACTGTACAGATTGCTTGGATTCATTTGGATATACACATTGAATTTATTATGGCTAATATTGATGTAGCAAGCAAGATGATTTGAAAAAATACAATGTTATTATTTTATTTGAATATTTACCACTTCATATCAAAACATGGCCATAGGTAGTTAAAATCAGTTTGTTGATTGTTATAGTTACTAAAATCTTTCCATATTCCTTCCCATTTCAGTGAAAATATCAACGTCACGTTTTTGATGTTCTGGTGTGGATTTTGTAAATAGGCCATAAAGACTTTTCTTAAATGTTTTATCTAACAGAAGGGTTATAACTGGATCTAAACTGCTTTTAGCAGCAGCAAGGCAAGTAAGGAAATTTTTAATTTCCACTAGGTAGTTTAACCTTGGGCAGTCATTATGTCTAAGCAGTATGTAAAAAAGAGGCCTAAAAATATGATACGGAAGAAAGCAGGCAGTTAATATCATCTGGATGACAAGAATGTTTCTTTTCACTTTACTGTAAATTAGATGTTTTTCTCCGATACAGCTGGTTTTTTGTATGTTATTCAGATGTCTGGTAAGAGAATAGTACGACCACAGAACTGTCATAAAAGACACAAAAAAACATGCAGTGGCAACAGAACCTGCAATCATTGCAGTAAATTCACTAGCTTCTACCTGGATGTTGTAGCAGCTGGGAAGGTATTCCAAAGCCCTTGCCTGGACATCATATGTTATAGCTGTTACTGTTATGCAGAGCACAGTAAGCCATATACCGATGCACAAATATTTAGCAAATTTTGGCTGACGAAACGCTTGAAGCAAACATCTGGAGAAGTTTTCATGAACTGCTTGGGAGTACTGTGTGTCACAGTTCTTCCTCAGCGTTGCATACTGGCTCAGAGCAATGGAGCACAGGATGATAATGGTCACGTACATGCAGACGTGCATGACCAGAGTCCCAAGGTGATGTGCTATCCGGCATTCCAAGGACTCGTAGCTCCAGCGCTTCCCTCCTGCAAAGTAGGCAGCCAGGAAGGGCATTGTGCTGCATACAAACAGATTGGCAGTCACGAGGTTTGCCAGGTAAATGTATTGTGTTCTCCTTGTGGGCGCTTTCCTTAAAAATATCCAGGCAGCGAGAATGTTTCCAAAGCTTCCAGCAGGGAATAGGCAGGAGTAGATGACAGGGAGAGCTACAGTGGTAGCTGATGATGGCTGAAGAAAACATGTTGAATTGTTCATTTATGCCAGTATATCTTGAATGAATGGTCAGAGCTGAAAAACAATTAAAAAATTATTCTTCTGTAGTGTTCATTTAACATCTCTTTTATTCCTTGCTCATATCTCAGCTGTTTCTGTTTCTCCCCTACTTTTCAGTGTTCCCAACAGCTGTTTGATGCTGTTACCATCTTGAGTTTGCATGAGGTTACAGTTTGAGTGTTCTCTTCCACTGAGATTTTGTGAAGAAAAGTTGGCTGATGTTAAACCCCTAAGATTTTATGTGCATAGAATCTAACAAAATAAATTAGGAACTGAAGGTTCAGGCTAAGGTCTGGCAATAACTTCTGCAATCTTAGTTTATTTCTCAGCCTGCTGGAACATCTGTAACCTAATTTGGAAACCATTTTAAACCATTTAAAGTTTACATAAGCAAATTAAATGCAAAGTATTACTTTGCAGAAATGCAGAGGAGCATCCAGTACCTCCATTTAAGTACAAATTAGACTCAGTATGATGTAGGAATCTGGCTAAATGCATTTATTTTGTGCTCAAGTCTGTATCTAATCTTGTTTTATCAAAACTCCAATATTAGATATACATTTAGTCTATATTTGTAAACATATAATATGGTTGTCCAAAACTGCAATATATTTATTTTTTCCAAGATCAGTTTTCAATCTTTTCTCAATTTTCAAACTGAAAATAAGAAATCAAAGCTCTATACAATGACTGTGTATAAAAACTGGTATTTCAACTTACTAACCTGTACTGGAGAGCTTTTACTTTTGTATGCATACATACATTTTAGTGCAGTGTATCCTAGTTAGCTTTTGTTTCGTGTAAAATCATATGGAACAAATTAAGAGATTTCAAACTTACAGACAGATAATAATTTTTTGTAGACAGCTGTAAGCAAATGAACTCAGATGCTAAAGAGGATTCTGTGTAGGTATGATAAAAAGCTGAGATGCTGAGTTTAAAACTCTGCTGTAGGCAGTGTTTGACCACTTGCAAATTAAACTTAAATTAAAAAATTAACTTTCCTGGCTGTTGCAGTTTAGTATGCACTGAGTTCATGTCTTGTTGAACCAAAATGTTTATGACAAGTTAAATTCACAAAACAATTGCTGAATGTACTCATTTAAAAGTCTAATGATAATTTTTGTGTCAATGACCAAATTTTGTCAGGTAAAACAAAGTAGTAGTTTGAAGCTTACCTGTGCAAACTGCAGGCACCTTCCTTTGCTGAGAGGAAATATTTCTGTCTGATGGCTGTTCTGTCTCCACTGCTGCAATGAAAACGGTGACACTTGGATCTGGAAAGTACAGTTAAGAACAATATCTCTCTGACATAAGTAGGTTTTCAGAGTGTGCACTTTTCTTTCACAGTGTCAGAAAGCAGCTGGGCATTTAAAGTTCAGACAAGATGATATTGTCTGTACAAAAAACTTAAAAATTAGGTCAGGATAAGCTCCATTAGGGAAATGACAAAAAATGAGGTAGTGTGGAAGAGTGATTGTAACAGTCCTTTGGGGTCATGTAGGTAAGGCACAGAAACATCTTGCAATCCTTATATAGTACTTTCCTCTTTTTGGGGGTTGGAGGGGTTCTCTTTAGGACTGCCCACTTTCCAATGTGAATAAAAAAAAAAAGAAGTTGCTATTTTATGTGTGAAAACTTGTCTTTTCAATGACATTTAACAGTTTTTCAGCTCAAGGAACTATCACAAAGCTGACTATCTGTTCCTGAAGCCCACATACAATATTATTGTGTCAGTGTCTGTCCAGACATGAGTGACCAAATGAGTGACAGGAGCACATCTCTCCTGTCTAGTCAGGAGATGGATTGTGGGGAAGCAATTTTCAGCTGACGCATCATAGGCATCCGTCAGGGAAAACAGGCTCATTGTCCAAAAAATACAATGTTTTATACAAATCATCCAGAAGTGTACACAGGACCGTTTCCTTCCTCCACAGGATGATAGGTTTGAGCACAAATCGGTCAAACTCTGTTTAGGTCTGCAAAAGTTGAGACCTGTGAATTTTCTTCTGTCTGATGCATCTGTGGTTGTATAGCTTTTCAACAGCTATAAATAAATTTCTTATGAGAACAGAAGAGATACCAAAATTGCAGAAGTTTTTATACTGTAAGGTTCTTGTTTTGCTACTTTTGCTTTATGTTGAAACATACACTGTAAGAATTCACCTCAGTGATCTATTATCAATTTTATTGTTCAGTCTCATTAATTTTTTTACTAAAATGATGGACATGTATGCTGGCTTCCTATTCAGAATGCGTAGCTGAATTCATTTACAATTAAATTTACTTGCTGTAGAGTATTAGTAATTAGGTTGTAATGCTGTAATTAGTTTGCATGTACTTTAAGTCTTTGTCTTGTTAGATTTAATTATACCTTTTGGGTTTTTCTCCATGTTTGAATGTATGGTTATATTAAAGTTTGCTCTAACAGAAAGGGTCTTGTATTTATTAAATGTTTAATAGTCTCTTACATAGTCTTAGAAGTCCTTGTTATTGTGATGTTCCATTGAGGTTTAGTTACAAGAATGCATATCCTGAAATTTTGCTATGAGTGGTGTGAACCATTCTCATAAGCAGGGATTTTTTAATTGTTGTTATTATTGTTATTTGGTTGGTTATTGACTGTTGCCTGTGGTATTTATAAGGCTTTGACACTGTCTCTCACAACATCCTCACAGGCAAACTGAGGAGGTGTGGACTGGATGAGTGAACAGTGGTGGATTTAGAACTGGCAGAACAGCAGGTCCCAGGGGATTGTAATCAGTGGCACAGGGTGTAGTTGGAGGCCTGTCAGTAGTGGTGTCCTCTAAGGTCCAATACTGGGCCCAGGACTGTTTAACTTACTCATCAATGATGGATGAAGTGGGAGGTGCCTCCTCAGCAAGTTTGTTGGTGACACAGAGCTGGAGGAGTGGCTGATACCCCAGAGAGCTGCACAGCCCTTCAGAAGGACCTCAACAGGCTGGAGAGATGGGCAGAGAAGAACTCTCTGAAATTCAGCAAAGGCAAGTGCAGGGCCCTGCAGCTGGAGAAAATAACCCCAGGTACCAGGACAGGCTGAGGGCTGACCTGTTAGAAAGCAGCTCTGTGAAGGACTAGAGGGTCCTGATGGACAACAAGCTGTCCAGGAGCCAGCAGAGTGTCCTGGGGACCAAGAAGGCCAATGGGATCCTGGGCTGCATTAGGAAGAACATTGCCAGCAGGTCAGGGAGGTGATTCTGCCCCTCTACTCGACCCTAGTGAGGATCACCTGGAGTGTTGTGTCCAGCTCTGGGCTCCTCAGCACAAGAGAGACCCGGAGATCCTGGAGCAAGTCCAGCAGAGGGTGACAAAGGTGATCAAGGGACTGGAGCACCTCAGTAATGAGGAAAGGCTGAGGGAGCTGGGCCTGTTTAGCCTTGAGACGTGACTGAGAGGGGAACCCATCAATGTACACAAGTATCTGAAGGGAGGTGTCAGAGGATGGAGCAAGCTCGGCCCAGCAACAGGACAAGAGGCAACGAGCAGAAACTGATGCCCAGGAAGTTCCACCTGAATATGAGGAAGAACTGCTTTCCTGTGCAGTGACCGAGCACTGGAACAGATTGCCCAGAGAGGTTATGGAGTCTCCCTCACTGGAATATTTCCTAATGGGAGATATTCCAGACTCATCTGGATACCATCCTGTGCCATGTGCTCTGGGATGACCCTGTTTGAGCAGGGAGGTTGGACCAGATGAAACCCACTGTGGTTCATTCCAACGTGACCCATTCTGTGAAAGATGTTTCAGTTGGCCATTTATAACCCATACCTATCATGTCACATGTTATAACCAGTTCCTGCTGTACAGCTGAGTATGGAATATGTTGGCAGCAGTTGCTCCTTGTGGGATGGAAGGAGGCAGCAGCTTGGTAACTCCTGGCCTCTGTAGCAGTCCAGGTGCCTGTACTGTAGAAGGCCCAAGATCCACTGTATTGCATTTAATACCAAGATAAGTCTCTTAAGGTGCACTGGCTACTATACAAGTCCAATCCATGTCTTCTTTCTAGAAAAATCATTTACCAAGTAGCTCGCCTAGGACTTTGACTTTTGGTGCTTAGTTTTGATGGGAATGGTTTTTTTTTTCCTTAAACATTCAAATTGAAAGGTATTTTTGACTGCATAAACTCTTTAAGACAGATGCACTGCACAATAACCATTTCCAGTTGGACACTTGTACCAGGAGAGTTGTTGTAGAGCACCATGATTCCCCTCTGCCTGCTTGTCAGCTTTCCATGCAGGGGTGACCCAGTGTGTGCACAGCACTTTTGTTGTCATGATTTAATGAGGATTTTCTCTATAATCAGTATATGTATTTAATACTGTAAGAAGTGCTTATCAAAGCGAAATCGTCTAAGCTCATGTTTAAATCTGCTCGAGCTGAGCATTGTGCTGAATCAGTGAAGATAAAAATATTGGGCAGATTTAACATAGGTCTCTGGTGTTCACCGATAATTTATTTTCGCCAGTTTTCAAAACTTCCCTTGTGGTTCAGCAAAACAAGACCTCAAATGAAAGTTCCCATGTTGTTTGCTGAATTATAAGTGTGTGCAGTGCAGCTCTGTGGTATCTTTAAGGACATAGAAATGGGGATATGTTGCACTCACAGTTTCAATTCCTTGGTTGTCGTACAATGTGCAGAGTTAAGTGTTTCACAGGGTCTGGGTAATTGTTTTACCTGGACAGGCAAAACAAGCCAAGCAACGTCTTTTAGTATGGAAAACTTAGCTTGAGGATGGCAATACTAATAAAAATAATCTTCCAGCTTATACTTCAGGTCTTTTAATGTTACTGTCATTGTACATCTCCCAGAGGTCTTTACAACTATATTTGCTTATAAAAAAGCACTGTCTGTGTATTGCTCATGAGGATTTTTACTGTTAACTTCAGAAATTGGTTTTTAACATGAAAACTGTGTTGATCATCAGAGACAAATAGGAAGCTTTCTCTGTTGTTCTGCACCA